CTCGTCACATTCCTTCTTTTCTGTTTTAGACTCCTTTTCTGTTGGTTTATCAGATTTCTGATGCATGACTAAATCTTCATTCCTAGGATCTGTTGGGCCTTCCAATTCTTTTCCACTTCTCAATATGACAGCGTTTGCGTGACCTTGCGGAGGCTTGTTGTTGAGCCACTTGTGTTATCTGCGTTTCGAGCATTTTATTGTGGGTGGCTAAAGCGTCTACTTTTCTGGTCAACTGTTTAATTTGCTCGCTAGTGTGTATGTTTTGATTCAGAAATTCTATATTTGTTTGAGCTTGAGTAGCTATGAATTTTTCCATCATCACTTCGAGATTTGATTTCCTAGGGGCATTCTGGGCAGCAGCGGCTGGTTTTTGATATCCTGGCGGAGCAGCTGGTGCTTGCAAGGCATTATCGTTCTTGTAGGAAAAGTTTGGGTGGTTCCTCCATCCTGGGTTGTAAGTATTTGCGTAAGGATTTCCTTGAGCGTAGTTTACTTGGTCTGGTGGGATTCCTGCCAATAATGGGCACTCGGGCGCATTATGAGTGGCGATTCCACATAACTCGCAGTTTGGAGTTACAGCAGCTACGGTTCCAGTTGGGGTAACTGTCAGACTGTCGATTTTCTGCGCTAGAGCATCTACCTTAGCGTTGAACTTTTCAAGACTGCTGATCTCGTACATCCCACCTTTCGCTGCGGGTTTCTCTGTTGGAGTCCGTTCACCTTCCCATTGGCAGTGGTTCTGAGACATGTTTTCGATAAGTTGATAGGCTTCGTCGTATGGCTTATCCATAAGCGCACCGCCTGCGGCAGCGTCTACCGTTAATCTGGTGTTATATAGAAGCCCATTGTAGAAAGTATGGATCGTCACCCAGTCTTCTAAACCGTGGTGAGGACATGCTCTCATCATATCCTTGAACCTTTCCCACGCTTCGTAGAGAGATTCGGTATCTTTTTGCCGAAATCCGTTGATTTGAGCTCTAAGCATAGCAGTTTTGCTTGGCGGAAAGTATTTTGCTAAGAAAACGTTCTTTAACTATTCCCACGTTGTAACGGAGTTGGATGGTAAGGATTGTAACCAAGTCCAAGCTCTATCTCTAAGAGAGAAAGCAAAGAGACAAAGTCTTATTGCGTCTGGAGTTACTCCATTTGCCTTCATTGTGTCTGCGTATTGCACAAACTTCGTTAAGTGTTCATTCGGGTCCTCAGTTGCATTTCCTGAGAATTGATGTTGTTGTACGCTGACATCAATGACGGTTTCAGTTCGAAATCGTTCTGATTGATAGCTGGGGCAACAATGCTACCTCGAGGTTCCAGCTGAGAGGGGGTAGCGTAGTCCTTCAACGGTTTGTTCTGAGGTCCGTCAGCCATCTTTGATTCTTCAACAGGAGGATGAGCTAGAAGATCAGGAATATTGTGTTTTCGTTGATATTCGAGGATGCACCTTCTTAAATGTAAGAAGCGCTCTAGTTCGGCGATTTTAGGTTGTAAGATGTCGCCTTGTGAGCGAGTACTTGGCATACAACCAAAGAACGAGTAGAGGGAGAGAGAATAGTTAACCTAGTTTATACCGTGTAATAAAGGATTACACTATTGACTAAACGGGTCCCCAGCAACGGCGCCAAAAACTTGATCGCGACTTTCTATGTCTAACTGAACTAACTGCAAGTGCACAGTCTATCGCGTAGTAATAAAAGATATCGATCCCACAAGGACTCGTAATCAAGCTAGTATTTTCGGGTGTTACTGTGTTTAGCTAGGTTGGTATGGTTTTAGGGAAATAAAAGCAAAATAAGTGTGTAAACTATAGGGGAACTAAAGTGTTACTTAAGGTATAAATGCTTGAATCGGTATGCAATATGTTGGTTCTTCAAGGATTCGACAAGTCACCGGTGTTTTGGGTGTTTTCAAAAATAGTTTAAGAAGAAAATGACGGTTTAAAGACCTTTGCCTCACTATGGTTGTTGACGTTAGTCGCAACTCTAAGGCGGAACGTATGTTGTCGCTATCCCGTTCGCGGTTAAAATTACTTTTTGAAAATCATTAAGCTCTAATCCTTTTTAAAGCGTTGTCGCTGTTTTTAAAACGAATGCTTAGTTTTTACTATCTTGACCTAACCTCAGCTGTCGCTTGTTGGTTCGTACCTTTATGAATTTCCCACTGTCGTGGCAAAACTGCTTTTAAATAAGTTCTCGCTGTCGCGACGAACATTTATTTTAGAAAAATCGATTTAAAAACTGAAGCCATAAATAAGTTTGAAAAGGAAAGTATACACCGGTTAATTATCGAAATCCCATCTGACTACTTATTACATACCGATTACTTAAATTTAGCCAGACATGGAATATAAATTAAGAACACGTAAACAATGGCAGAAAATATAGATATGCATTATAATGGGAAATAGAAATCAATTAACGATTAAAATGAGAACCTGTAAATAATTCGATTGGCTTTTGGGAAATCCTCCAAAATGACGGCAGGATTTAGTCTTTGTGCCAATTACTCGTACAGAATAGAATTTGAAAAGTAAAACAACAATTGCAAGGAAACGACGAAAAAGGAAACAATAAACGATAAGAAATTAGGAAACTAAAAATTGCTCTGAAAGTAAATTGGCAGCACTTCGTGTCTTCAATGCAACTCTCCTTTTCTGGTACCAGCTCCCCTCCTTTTATAGATGGAATTTCCAACGGTTAATTGCCTCAGGAAGTGGGATTGATCTCAAAAAATATAGGAGTTAGTGGTCCACTCCTTTTTGGCATTTGAAAGCACTTCACAGCACGTGCAGCATTTCTGCATTTTTATTGCATGACGGTCGTCATGGATGTGTGACGGTCGTAACACGCATGACGGTCGTCAAGGGCCTGTGACGGTCGTCACAACAGCAAAATTCGTATTTGCTGTTTTTGGCTTTTTTTTCATCTGGTTTTCATCTGTAATTGCTTGTTTTCTTCATCTTGCTCCATTTGAGCATGAACTTTGAATACCTGCAAAATACTGGACAAATAATGTGGAAATATCCGAAATCGGAGTGAAACCGGTCACTGATTAGTAAAAATGTATGTCATTATATATATACGATTTCGCGTTATCAACTGCCCTAGAGCCTTAACAAAGAGTCGCCAATTGATATGGCGCCCTCGTGCTTTCAGAAACCCTAACTGAGATATTTTATGAATATTTTTGAAAAAATGGATTATTTGGATTAAAAAATTTGTAACTCTCATCTTACTAGCATATATTTTCCTTTTAATTTTTTTAATTCATATCGTTGTTAAAGAAAATATTGACTATATTTGTCAAAAGATATTCACAATACATTATTATAATATAAATGTATTAACTATATCTGTAAAAGAAAATCTAAAAATAAAATAAAATTTTTAATTGTAATTGTATATAAAAAAATTTATAGGTTCATTTTAACAATTTCAAAATTTAACAATTAGAATATAAAATATTGTGCATCACATAATATATATATATATATATAAACAACTTAAAAATAAATATCTAAATAAAATACATTTATAAAAAATAAAGGGTTTAATTGTTATGCATTCACAGTATAAAAATATTTTACATTGTCATCTAATATGAATATATGATTCTGCCATATCATATAATTGATTTAAAATTTTTAATATGACTTAGCGTGATATAGAGTCGTTATTGATTGACAGTGTAAAAAAATTTTACACTGTCTATACATCTTTCTTTTTTCCAAAAATAAATAAGAAAGAAAATAAAAAATAAATCACCGATTATATTTTTTATAATTACTTAAATTTATAAAATAAATTTTATATGTCAGTTCTCAATTTGTCAAAAGAAATTCATAATACATTATTATAATATAAAAATATTTAAAATCTTAAAATTTATCTTAACCTTACTTAATATTAATAATTGTGTCTCAATAGAACTATTTATAGTAGGATGTATAACAAAAACATCATAAAAGAGATACACATAATAGCGCAATAAAAAGTGCGTTTATGCATTAACACGTATGTACGGAAGTGTCCGTAACGCTAGTAGTTATCATAAATTTTATGAATTTGTTATGAAACTAACTCTAACTCAAGTCGGTAGTATTGCATTGTCTCCTAACGATAGAGACCCTAGTATTCTAGTATTTAAGTATGTAAGAAATAATTGCTACACCACCAATCAATCAATACTCTTCATTAAGTTTAGTACTATTTTTCAACACATGCTTTTCAAATTCAACCACAACATTTATTTCATTTCCAATTAAAACCAAACTGTCTCAATTTTTTAGGTTGCCCATCGACATCCCGTGCATAACATGTCATCATCCCACACAGTCTTGTGGTCATGCCATTATCACCGACCCTTTAAATACCGTTGACACTCACATTACTATTAGCTCCATTCATACTCTTCCGAATGCTACACATTAATGCAACCAAATATTAAGTTAAGATCAATCTCAAGAATACTATGGGCAAAGAATGTATGGAAAAAATAAACATTTCATATTGATTCAAATGACCTGTCATTTAAACGCACCAAGCTCAATAGTACTGAATTTGTCATTTAGACGCACCAAACTCAATAGTGCTGAGCGTAAAAGAGTATATAGAATCTCGTGTATTACATCATCATTGTAACAAAATGTTTATGATACATACATTTATTTATATATAAAACCAAACTTTTACTGACACAAAAATTTACATATTTCACTCATTCTTTCTAAATACAAAACTCTCTTTTTTTTTTCCGGTTATAATTATTATTTTCACTCTAGCAACAAACTATATTTCCTTCTTCAATTGAGATCATTTCATATTTTGTGCTACAGAGGTGTAGTGTAACAGAAACCCACATTAGCAGTCACAACACCATAATAATCTCTATAGATCGGCGGGTTATACCGAGTTTCTGTCGAGCAACGAGCATATAAAAACTTAAGGCTGACAGTTTTAGGATTTAGCCATGAGAATGTAATGATGTAAGTCGTGTCATTTGGTTCACTTGTGGTATGTGCCATGCGACACAAAGAACTGATAATCTGGGTGGTTCACTTGAACTAGCCTTAACCAGTTATCTGCAGCCTGCAAGAGGGAATTCGCTAACTGATTGTCACGAACTCCATTTTTCATCCAGATAGATCCCTTCAACTTATAAGACGCCATTGCGAAAGTTGGTAACGATATATTTGCTACACCATCTATGTCATTCGGATAAACCAATATTGGAGCATGAGTACCCCCATTTCCTGAAAAATGGAATCAAAACAAAGTATTAAGATATACTAACGGTAAAAGGTGCGAAAAATGTTTACAATGCATGAGTAGATCTAATAACTATGTTGCGAAACAAGTGCTGAATGTAAGCAAAAAACTTCAATGCCACTATGGTTTAAGCATAGGGTTAAAGTTCCATGAATACCTGTCAATGGTGTATGGAGTGTATGATAAGTAAGAAAACAAGCATCTAAATCTTTCAATGTTTGACCCCCCGGTATTCGATATATAGGATACCTAAGCAATGGCATTGCAGAATGTTAGGGGACACAAAATTGAGCACTAGAGATTCGTATCGATTGAGTTCAATTTATTATTCTCACCATGCCACAGACAACCAACTGGCTGGCAATAAATCACAACTTCTCAACGACTTGAGGCTAGGATAGTGGCACGCAAGATCGAGTATCTGTCAAAATGTAATCAGATATATGATGAGACGAGCTGTTCAAAATAACAGCAAATAAGCCACACGTTAAGTAAAATTAACACTCACCTTGTCGGCCAATGGCTCACGGCCATAGGGAGGTTCTTGATCAAAATACTCGAAAAGAAGATCTTGAGGATTCCCGGTTTCACTTTCATCGCTAGAAAATCCCTCTTGAACAGATAGCCTGCTCATTAGTAAAGAAGCGTCACTTGTTTGATTTTGATTACTTCTTTGTGCTATAGAATGTTTAGTCCTTTTTCCAAACTCACTATCACTGCTTCCATCACTACTTGAATCTCTGTAGTAATCACTGTCACTATCTTCACTTATGCATCTAATGACAAAAGAAAACGAGATATTGTTACTTCTTTGAAATTGAAAATAAACAAAGCTTGACTTTACTTATGAATTGAAAATACCTTGGCTTAACAATTGACTTCTTAGCTGATTGACCGTATAGTTGAATAGCCGATAAATAAGGAACATAATATTGTACGACAGATTCTCTTTGATCAAGTAACAAAGGAACTCCTGCTCCATAGGCACTCCATTCCTTGAAAGATTCCCAGAGATCATTCAAGGCGAAGTATGATTGATACTCTACATCACAAGTCTTCCAACCTCTCATTGTTGTCTACATCAAAAACATAACAAAAACAAGTCCCAAGTAAGTTTTTTTTAATGCTTGGTATCCGCCTTGCGACCTACTTAATTCAGAGGACCAATTTCACCGTCCACTAGTGGGGGGCCGCTAGCCTAACACAAGGATTGTTAGCACCTAGCAAGATTCGAGACTTTGAGAGGAGCATACTCTCAAACCACTAGTTCAATCCCTGGGGATTAAGTAGCTGAATAAGCAAGACTTATGCCATAAATGGATAAACAACTTAATTAAGTGCTTGTGTATAAGTTGTTTCCAGAAGCTATCCTGGAGAGAGTATATGAAACTAAGCAAATAACAAATTATGATTACTTCATAAGATGTTTTTTTAAACTCCCTCAAACAGTCTTACAATTGTCTGAGCTGTTAGATAAAATAAGCTGAAATAAATCAATCAAAATAAGTAGTTCCTATAAAGGAATTCAAATCCAGAACCTAACATAGCAACTAACTTACTAACATTAACCTATTCCAAAACAGTTACAAACCAAGAAATAGACCAAAAAACAGTGAACAAAGGTTGTTGTACTTGTAAACTCGAACTCCAACAAAGCACAAATCAAACACTCAAAAGACAAAAACATAATCATAATTGAATAAAAGACAGACAAAGATAAACCTTAGAGAAAAACTGAGCTGGAACTAAAGGTGTTGTTGACTCCAAGAACCTATCAATGTTACTTGCAGGTTCAACAGAATCTTCTCTCTTATTTTCACCACACTTATCTCTCTGAGTTTTCTTACGCTGATTTTGATTCTGATTCTGATTCTTCCTTGCTTTCACCGGAATATAAAACCGATCCTCACCACGAACACCATTAAATTGCAGGGAAGTCCCAAACATTTTCCAAACTTGTTAACAAAAATTTAACAAGACCCAAATTAAAAAATCCTCTCTTTTAACGTTTTTTCAATGAAGAAAGAGCAAAACTCATAAAAATCAAAACTGGGTCATCACAGAAAAAAGAAGGAAACACTGTAAGAGTTGGAGTGAAGAAAAAGGAGATCAAAGAAAAGATTGTTGTGAAGAGAAGAAGGGGTAGGTGGATGAATTGATAGAGTGAGAGAAACTTTGAATAAATATGAAAGGAACTATGCGTGAAGTGAAGGATTGAATAGAGAGAAAGGAAGAGAAGGTTGTGTAAGAGAGACTGTGTAGTTGGAAGAGAGAAGACATGAAAATTTTGGTGTCACCTGTCGGGGGATAATATCATTTCTTCAAATTTTGCACTTCATGTTGGTGGGTCCAATTCAAGGAATATGATTTTCGTGTGTAAATATTATTTGACATAAACTTTGAGTAGTTTAAGAAAGATAATATTAAATAAATGGTTTTTAAAGTGATTTGAGGTTTCGGTTAAATTTGAATAATTTATAAAATTTTACATCTCCAAGATTTCTTGATAAAATTCAATTTTGATGTTTCTGAAAATGTTTTTGATGGTAGGTGTTAGAAGATGTAATTTAATGTTTTAAAATATAAGTTGTATTTGATTTAAGCATGTTTGATTTCAATGAGTCAAGTAATAGTAAGATGTATTTGACAGAGTCGAATACAACATGTAGTTGTCAGATTGAATAAATATGCATTCGAATGAGTCGAATAATGCAGTTTGTAAGTTTATATTTTGGTTGCACATATAAAGAGGTGGCGATGAAAACATTTAACAAGTTTTGTACAACAAATTTCATTTTATCAAATTTTATTTTAACATATAATTTCTATCTCTTCTTTCTCCTCGATCTTCTTCTTCATTCTTTTTACAACCTTAATTATGTTAAAAACAACTTAAAAAGTTTTGATGATAATAAAGTATTTAAAGAACAATATAGTTTACTATAGTTATTCAGGTGTGTGGGATTAAAAGACATTAACCTTGATATAAATCAAGTTAATCACTCAGATGAGCCATTAAAGGGAAGCAAAGTTGTTATGAATTTGAATGATCAGAACCAAGCTTTTAGACTCAGAAGAGTCAACTCAAGTCTTTCAGATGCTGAACCTAAGCTTACTTGAAATACAAAGATAAGTTCAGCTCTAAAGACTAGAATCATTTGAAGCAAGCAGACTTTGTTATAAGGAATGACTTTGCATCTTCCGAACAAGCTTCATCAGCAATTATGAAGATACTACTTCAAATAATTTTGTTTACATCAAGTCATCAACTCTTCAAGTGATCATCCAGACTAGTTCTGATCAGGACTCTGATGAAGGCAAGACTCAGAATCTGTGAACTCAAGACTCTGAAGTATCATTCCAACCATGTTCTGAAGACTTACTTTATCTTCTGATCATGCTCTAACTAATTTTATAAAAAACCTCTAATTCAGAAAGCTAAGTATAAGGATAACAATGACTCTGAGCAAACTTCAATAAACGTCAACAAGAAGACTCCGGTCAAGAGTTATCCAAAAGAATATCATGTGACAACAGTACACTACTTTATATCAAATTTGTTGATAGTGATGTTGTCAGGATCTTCTCTCTTCAACTGTTCTAAATTCTGCTATACTGATCTCAATGTCTTTATGCTAGCTGAGTTTTTAGCTCACTTTATTGTACATCAACTAAAGACCTTCAAGGGCTATCTGTACCAAGTGTGTCATCTAACTGCAGTCAAAAGAGTGTTGAGGTACATAAAAGGCATAATTGATCATGGTGTACTGATGTCAAGGCAGGAGACCATCATAGATGCAAAAGTACATGGTTACACCAACTCATATTTTAGCGGAGATAAAGATGAGAAGAGGAGTATTCCATGCTACGTATTCATGATTGGAGGTACTCTAATCTCTTGGAGCTCAAGAAAAAAAATCAGTGTGGCTTTGTCATCTTGTGAAGCTGAGTATGCGGTTGCATCGTATGCATCATGTCAAGCAATATGAATAGAGATGCCACTCAAAGAGCTCAAGTTCATGGAACCTAAGAAAATAAAATTGTTTTTCAATAACAAGTCAACATTCGGCATGGAAAATCATCCAGCATGTCATGGTCAAAGTAAGCACATTAGAGAGAAGGTACCATTTCCTTGTGGATTAAGTAAATAAATGGAAGCTTAAACATAAACTTGCAAGACAGAATGACAACAAGCTGATATACTCATTTAATATGTTTTGTACAACAAATTTCATTTTATCAAATTCTCGGTTCACATATAATTTCTCTCTCTCTCTCTCTCTCTCTCTCTCTCTCTCTCTCTCTCTCTCTCTCTCTCTCTCTCTCTCTCTCTCTCTCTCTCTCTCTCTCTCTCTCTCTCTCTCTCTCTCTCTCTCTCTCTCTCTCTCTCTCTCTCTCTCTCTCTCTCTCTCTCTCTCTCTCCTTTCTCCTTTATCTTCTTTTTCATTCTTCTTTAAACCTAAATTGTTACAACAATAAGAAATATATAAAAGTCAAACATAAGAAAATTTAAAATCATATAAAGAAAGTTGATTATGTGTCTTGTGTTTAACTTTAATATAAAATGTATCGTGAATGCAACTAATCTATTGATTTTAAAATTTTCAAGATGAATAGATTAAATGTGGTAACAAGAACACCTTTTTTTTCACGCTCAAACCATCATTTAGAAGAAATATGAAAGCAATCTATAAAATTAAGCTCTACAATGGCACATGCACTTCGGATAACATTTCGATTCAACACAAAGCCTAAAATTTCTTCAAAGATCTTTTTTTGCAACTCCGCCACCCATTAGACTGCTTTTCCCGCCATTCAAAGCATGAAGATTGATGATGATGGTAGAAATTCTTTTACAAAACCTATCACTAAAGAAGAGGCTCCCATAGTCTTAAAATCAATGAAGTTATTTAAAGCTCTATGACTTGGGGGTTCCATTGTGTTTTTCCAACAATATTGGCTTATTGTAGGAAACAACATCCCATACCTTATCAAACATGTTTTCTTTACTAGGAATTTTGATCCAAACAATTTGGAAACCTTAATAGATCTCATTCCAAAAGTGGAATGTCCAACCACTTTCAAAGAATTGAGATTTATCAGTCCTTACAATATTGTCTACGAGATCATCACTGAAGTCCTAGTCAATCTTCTCAGACCCTTACTTAAATATTTTCATTGGCCAAAGCATTTTCCTGTCAAATAGGGACGCTTCCACGTCATGCATAAATTGATGAAGAAAAAAGGAGATGTCCCCTTGGAAGTCAATTTGGATAAGGCTTTTGAAATGTCATATGGGTTTTTCTTTAAATCTATCTCAGAGACTTTAGATTCTTTCTCACTTATGATCTAGCTCATCTTTCATTGTGACACCTCACCTTTATTGTCTATCTTGTGGAACAAAAATAAAATGTTATCCTGCAAGCCTTCCCACGTCAGTCTCCAATGAGGTAGGTTCTCAACATACCTCTTCATTGTCTGCATGGAAAAACTTTTTTCAAGTTTGATGTTGTTCAAATTGGCTTTTGGAAATTAATAGGTTTGTTATTGTTAGTTAAGAAGTTGTTACTTGTTAGTTAAGTAGTTAGTTAGTTGATTAATTAGTTAATAAGTAATTAGTAATTTTGTTGAGAGGTAGTTGGGTCAAATAAAGCATTTTGTTTATAAATAGACAAGAGGATTGGAAATTCAATTATCTTATTATTTGAGAGGAATATAACCTTTTGGCATTAATAGGTAGGCAGTCCATAGAAGTGATGCCACTGTTTGTGTAATCAAATGTGATTTTTTTTTCCATTTTCACAAATAATATACTAGTTTGGTCTATCAATTGGTATCAGAGCTCTGATCTTGGAGCTCTACAAGGGTTATGCATGTTGCTGAAAACAAACGCAACAATGGAAGGAATAATTGAGATGTTTGGGAAAATTGCGGAAGAAAATCACTCAAAGATTGAGACAAATTGAAATTGCACGATTTCCACCTCATTAATGTGGAAATGATGGTGGGGAATTGTCAGTTAACACCGATTCAAAGACAACGCCCTTTATTTACAGTTGGTGGGCAACATATCTTAGACGGGATTGAATTTTGTTTTTCACGAAGCCAAACGAAATGATAAACCAGGTTCAGATAGCTCCAAGTGTGATTGTATACTTAGGAAGACGTACGGTCTTCCACGTGCTTGTGTATTTGCAAATAAAATGAAGGTCAACACACCGATACGTATGGATGAGATTTAGTCTCATTGGAAGGCTTTGGTTCGATGATGATAGTGTGATGAATGATGATAAATCAAACATATCTATCCTGACCTAGTGGAAAGTGATCCAAGAGAGATTCATGAAAGCTGATGACAAAATGAAATTTCACATCAAAAATATATTAAGGAAGATTGTTTATTCGAAAATCAGGGGTTTGAGACCACCTTCAGAATTGGATAAAACGAAGGGTGCCCCCTAAAAAGGTCAAGTTGAACGAGAGTCGGAATTCTACTAGAGAGTTTCCTTCTTAATTTGACATGTTGACTCATATTTTCTAAATTATCTAACTCCTACGTCTAAAAAAATTATTTTCAAGGGTGCTCACATTATCAAACCATCTCCCCTACCACCGTTACCAAAAATCATCCATATTAAAGAGATGTCATTTTTTGTGCACATATACATTGGATGGATTTTAGATGTTAAAGATGATGACAAATGTGGTTTTCGAGTTGTTTCCGGTTTGCTCGGTAAAGGAGAACACAACCATTAATTTGTATGCCATAATCTTATATAAGAGTTGACAACGCATAGGGAATCATATTCATCACTATATGCGAAAGAAGAAAATTATGATGCAATTCACAACGCTCTTGTTCCTTGTGTTAGTGGTCCGACACCGTTTGGAAAATGGATGTGCTTCCTTGAAATGTGATATCTTATAGAAAATGCTTATGATATGGA